GTAGCCCAGGCTGGCCTCGAACTCACAGAGATCCGCCTGGCTCTGCCTCCCGAGTGCTGGGATTAAAGGCGTGCGCCACCACCGCCCGGCGCAGGATGCTTTTGATTCAAGTAGGCTGTCAGTGAAGACAGCCATGGCTCTGGGAAGTAAGCTTGGGTTTCAACTGGACATGGATAATAAAGGAAGTCTTATGGATTTTATAAGATGAAATTGTCCAGGCAAAAGTATGTAGATGAGATAAGGGCCGGGGATGGAAGTGTGCAAAGCACCCATATTTGAAGCATGAGCCAGGGGGATGCGAGGGGCCCCCCAAAACAGCTTGACCACACAGCTGCCATGACAGGCTCAGAGGCCCAGACACAGCTTCTGGCAGGCAACACCTGGACCCAGGAAAAGCCATAAGCTGACCCCACCCAGTGGGGCCTGTATCTAAGAAGAAATACCTGACATTCCAAACATTCCCTATACCCCTTAGACAAATGTCAGCCAATCAGGTTCCTGAACCCTGGAAATCCCTTCACCTCAACCTCTGGAGCAGACAGAGAGACCAAGCTCAGAGTTTGAGAATAAAGGCTCTTTGCCTTTACATATGGGATTTGGTCCCCGTGATCTGGGCATAACAAGGGAATGAGCTGTGCAGAGGGAGGGGAGAGAATTGGAGGGGAATGGAGTAAGGAGAGATGACCTACTCCAGGTGGAGGAGAAAGGATAACCGAGGTCTTGAATGGGATCTGCTGGTCCCGGCTATGGAAAGATAAGAGCAATTTCAGCCATGGATCCTGGTGGAAGGTTTCAGAAGGCTGAAAATAAATGGGAGATGCAAAGTAAATGAGAACTTTCATTTCATAGAAAGAGGATCTTTGGGTAGATGCAAAGGGCTTGGCAGTTACGAAACATGGTTCGCTTTGACTGTAAGATGATGACAGTTGAGAGAGGTTTTTTTTGTTTTGATTATTTTGTGACAGGAAGAGCAGTCATGATGAGTGGTGGAGTTGAGACAAAAAAAGGAAAATAGCAATGGAGTGAGCTGTTTGGTGTCCTTGGGGGTAAGAAGAACCTCTGGAGTCCCCACCTGCCTGGCCTGTCAACTTGACAGCCCAGAGTTATCTAAAAAAGTCTTAAGGGAAAA